TAACAGACGAATGACATGGAACCGAGTCGAAATGTTATTGGACTGTTGTTTGTTTGTTTGGTGGTAGTGGGGGACACTAATGACAGGGTGATAATTGGGGGGGAATTTAAATTTTAAATCCCGTGGAAAATGTTTATTTTATTTTTTAATTTTAGTGGTTTTGGAATTCCATGCTTGAGTGATCGCAATCAGTCTCCGTGTTGTAAAAAAAGTGGAATTTGCTATTTTGTCCTTTTTCTTTTACAATTTTTCTCCTCCATACCATATTTGGGGTGCAATTGTAAATAAGTCAATTTATAATATTTTTCACTTTTGCCCCACTTTCCACTCATGCTTTACAATTCTCTACTTTAACCGATGGAAATTATAAACTCATGATCCTTCCTTATTAAATTAGCTTATGGGAGACTTTCATCATCCAACACCTCTCCTTAATCGAGGCTCGACTCCTTTCTTTTGGAGTCTTAGTCATTTTTTAAGGGACTTTCATCATCCAACACCTCTCCTCGAACAAAGTACACCTCCCCTTAATCGAGGCTCGACTCCTTTCTTGGAGTCTTAGTCATTTTTTAAGGGACTTTCATCATCCAACACCTCTCCTCGAACAAAGTACACCTCCCCTTAATCGAGTCTCGACTCCTTTTTCTTTTGGAGTCTTAGTCATTTTTTACTATGCCTTCAAGACGGGAGGCTCGACTCCTTTTTCTTTTGGAGTCCTTTGTTCGACATTTGAGGATTCTATTAACATGGCCAAGTTTAGGGCATGGCTCTGATACCATGTTAGATGAACATAACTCTCCACAATAGTATATGATATTGTCCATTTTGAGTATAACTTCTCATGGCTTTCCTTTGGGCTTTCACAAAAGGCATCATTCCAACGGAGAAAGTATTATTTGATTATAAACTATAATCATTTCCTAAATTAGTGGATGTGAGACTTTTATCAAACACTAATAACTCAACAAGACTTATCCTCTTTCATCTTATATTCTAGTTGTCGGGTGAAAATGACCTAACATAAAAGAATTTTTTCATTCTTCTTTCAAATTTCTAAAACATTTCGAGAGAAATTTAATTTTTTGTTTAAATAACTTTTTCCTCTAAAATTTTGTCAATTTAGCCTGTGAACTTAAATATTTAAAAGTTAATTTTTAACCCTTAAAATTGTCTGGATACTAGATTTAAAAATGGTATAGAGACAAAATTAGATTGAAAAAAATCAAAAATTAAGGTTTAAAACATATGTTTAGCCCAAAAATAATTGTAATAATTTGAATCGATGTTATTTTATTAATTAATACACGTTTATAATAATGTATATTGAAATCGAGGAATCTATTCATTAACCATGCAAAAATAAACATAATTCAGCGATAATTAACATATTCTACCGATCCAGAGGTTAAAGTTTCGGACCTTCCATTCATAATATTATTGAATTAAAATATAATAATAAAAGTTAAAATAATGATTGTTTGTTAATATATAAATTTAAGAAGTATAATAAATGATCTTCCGAAAATATACACATTTTTATCCTAAATACACAATTTTTAACTCGAAACAAGTAATCAATAAATTTCATTAGTATTCAATAAATTCCATAGGGATTCCGATTGCTACGCCGCCGCCGAAATTAGTTTTCTCCGCCGGAATTTGTACTTTTCGCGTTTGTGGAGTGGACGTATGATCAGAAGCCAAAACTCTAACAGAAATATTAACGATTCCATTCCTCTCACCTCTAACATCTCGCAATCGGTAACTCAAGAAATGTAAATAACTTTCCGGCACGAAGCCGCCTAAAAAGTCCGATACCGGAACATTCGCAGTTCCGACGATCTCGTTCCTCGAGAAATTTCCAGAATGTACATATACAGTCATGAAACTTACATTCGACGGCAAGTTCAACGCCATTTTATTGTTCCAGAAAGGATAGCTACCGCCTCTGTCGTCGATTTGTGTGCTGCCGAGATTCTGAGAGTCGATTTTGACGGTCGCGAATGATTTCTTCTTCATCGATTTCCGACGACGGTGAAGATCTTCGGCAGAAATCACTGTGATTTCAAGAGTTCTCGATATTGGCGCCATGAGGAAAACGGAAAACAGAGGAAATCACGAATGGGAGATAGGATTGGATTTGTTTTTCTTGTGGAGGAATCAAATTAGGGTTAGGAGGAATTTATAGATCACGATTTGGGGGGAAATTTATAGCTATGGAATTTGCGGGAAATTTGGGAGAAAGGAACGACGAAACTCGAATATGAAATCGTTACTCGGGTTTAGATACCTATTAGACACAAAATTACAAGTTTTACCATTATTTACGATCCGATTTCGAGATTTTGAACTACAAATCGCTGCGTGAATAGACGGATCGACAACGAAAAAATACTGTAAAATTTTGTACAAATTCGAAAACGAGCAACACCACAGTTAAAAACATAAAGACAAAAGTATTTACAGATAAACGTATTGTTTAAGAGTTTATTACAAAACGAGGATTCGAGATCAGGGTATCAATTAAAAGACAACGATCCCTGAGACTAACGCCTCGGGACAACCCTTTTCTATGACCACGTAGCTCCTGATCACTCCTCCACCTCGACCACGAGGTATCAATTAATAGACAACGATCCCTAAGACTAACGCCTCGGAACGACTCTTTTCTGTGACCGCATAGCTCCCGAACACTCCTCCACCTTAACCACTAGGTATCAATTAATAGACAGCGATCCCTAACGCTAACGCCTCGGCACGACCCTCCTCTACCTCGACCACGAGGTATCAACTAATTGACAACGATCCCTAAGACTAACGCCTCGGGACGACCCTCCTCTACCTCGACCAGCTATCAACCTACTTCTAAACTCCAGTAGTATCCTTGACCTAGTATCGAGTCTTTAAAAAAAATCATTAATTTGTAGAAAAACCGTGCAAAGAAGGAATGATAAATACGATGGATTGACTCGAGTCATCTAGTCCAACACATCATGACTGGTTCAATAATGGATAAGTTCAAAATAAGTCGTTCTCTTTATTTTGTTTTGCTTTTTATAAAGTACCTTAGAAACAATCTTGAATTAATTGTTTTTTCGTAGAAATTTCTCCCAAATAACTTATATTTTTATAGAAATATAGAAAACAAAATTAGTCACAAATTTAAATTTTGGGAAATTATTAAATTTTTAATTCTATATTAAATGTCTCAACTTTGCATTTAATTAGTAATAAAAAAATCCCATAAGGAGATTAAAGAAGATAATAAAAATATTTTTTTTTTAATTTTTTTAAAATTAAAATAGAATTTAAATTAGACCAAATTTAGATCACGTGATTATAAAATAAAACTTGTTTCTCTCTCTCGATCTTTCTCTAGAGATTGATTAGTCTCCTCGAGAGAAAATTCTTCCCATTTTTACTTTATCTTATATATATATATATATATATAGATATATATATCACGCGTAACTTATCCACTAAGCTATTGGTCGGTAGATTTTGAAAATTAACATTATTTGTTCTCGAGAGTTTAATTTCATTTTCATTTAGTCGCTCTAATTTCAAAATTAACATATTTGGTTTTGGAATTAAAATTTTATTTCTAACCGTTTTGGAATTAATTTCTATTGGGTTAATAGGTATAAAAAAAATTAATTTCATTAAAAGTATTTATTTTTGAAATTTGAAGTCCAAATAATAACCAAATTCAAATATCCATTTTATAGAATTAATTTTTTTTAATTTGTATTTATTTAGTTTATAAATTTTAAAATAGTTTAAAAAAATTTAAAATATTGAAATTTAATAAAATTCAAATTAAGAAATTTATAGGCTAAATTCATAATTTAATTTTGAACAAATTATCATAAAAATAGTTTGTATTTATAGATTAATATATATGAAAAAATTATTAATAAATAAGTAAAAAAAAAGAGGGAAGAATAAAATATAACTTAATGGCTACACACTGAAGAGGTCATTTTATATCAATATTATTTTATCTTCTATTATTATTAAATTAAATAATTATTCTTAAAAAAATCGAAATTCATTAATTTACAAAAGAAAAAAAAATTCGTCTCTATTAGGCAACCTTCAGACCCGATCTCAGAGAAATTGTTGAGGATTGTTGAGAGAGGGTACACGTTTGCTAATTAAGAGAATGGTCGTGGATTTATAAGGAATATATTTCTATTGATACAAGTCTCTTAGTAAACGCAAAACAAAGCCATAAGAACTTATACTCAAAGTGGACAATATCATATCATTGAAGAGTTTCGTAATTCTTAACACGGTATCAGAGTCATGCCTTTAACTTAGTCATATCAATAAAATTCAGTGACTCGAGTGTCGACACAAATGATGTACTTTGTTCAAGGACTCCAGATAAGGAGTCGAGCCTCTGTTAAGGGGAGACTGTTTGATGGCTCCTCAGGCCTTATGGGAGGCTATATAGTGTTTGTTGAGGATTGTTGGGAGAGAATCACGGTTCGCTAATTAAGAGAATGATCATGAGTTTATAAATAAAGAATATATTTCTATTTGTATGAGATCTTTTGAGAAATTGTAAAGCAAAATCACGAGAGTTTAGGCTCAAAGTAGACAATATTATCATTGCAGAGTTTCGTGATTCCTAACAGTTATACGTTATGGAGTGAGAAAACAGCGATAGAGATGTCGATGGATGCAATGTTCTTAACTATCAAGGTGCATTGTGGATCTATTTCGAGGAACAGAATCGTCGGAACTACGAACGTTCTAGTGTCGGATTTTCTCGTACGGTGTAGGCCGGAAAGTTATTTATAATATATAAAATTTATTGTTTAAAATATAGTTATTTATTATTTTAATTATATTGTTTATAAATATTTAAAAGTTTCTATATAAACATTGGGCCTACTTTCATTTAGGCCCAAATATAAACGACGTCGTATAAAGGAATTTTCAACTGACAGAAGGAAACCAAAACGACGTCGATCTGTGACGTTTACCGAAGGTAGTTGGTTTATCCATTTGGCTCTGAAACATTCCGTTCTCGGAGCTGTAACAAAAATGGCCGCGGCCTCACTCTCTCATCTCTCCTTTCTCTCAAACCCTTCACCTCGAAGCTTGATCGTTCCATCTCTCCGGCTGACTTCTCCTTCCAGGAAAGGCCGCGTCGGTGGTTCTCGATTCAGATGCTCCGCTGGTCAGACGGGATTCTTCACTCGGCTTGGCAGGCTGCTTAAGGAGAAGGCCAAAAGCGATGTCGAGAAGGTCTTCTCAGGCTTCTCAAAGACTCGAGACAATCTTGCTGTTATTGATGAGCTTCTTCTTTACTGGAACCTCGCGGAGACCGATAGAGTTCTCGATGAACTCGAAGAGGTCAGTATTCTGTTCCTGCTCTATTTTCTCTCTTTTGTTTTATGTTCGTCTCAAGGAAGTATTGCCTACTTAGGAAACTGTTCTGTTCAGGAATTCTTGGATTTTTTGAACTCCAATTTGTCAAATCTAATCTAATCCACTGTTCTGAATGTGGATTCCACGGAGGTGTAATTCGATTTTGGTTTACATATGTCTCTTATCTTACAACTTCCCTCAGGTCTTTATTTCCGAGAATGAGCTTAAATCCAACCTTCTTTCAGACCTGAATTTTTGTATGGCTTGAATGTTAGTAATTGAGCTATTTTCTTGTTACTGATATAAGTAGTCCTTTTAATACTGGAGTCTATCGGAAAAATCATTTGTAAGCCGGATGAAATTCCATGGTTAATCGTAGTGTTGATAATCTTGTAGGCATTATTGGTGTCTGATTTCGGGCCGAGGATCACCATTAAGATCGTGGAGAGCTTGCGTGACGACATATTGTCTGGGAAGCTAAAATCGGGTAGTGAAATAAAGGTAATTAGTTCACGAATTGTTTCATTACTCTGTGTTCTAAGAAAGAAAGGCTTACTACACGGAAATGAATTAATAATTATTGCGTTAAACGTTAAATGAAGCTCTAGCGGCACAGTGAGCAATTTACCTCTCTTTCTGCTTGGAATTGGAATTCGTTTCATTTGGAGAAATTTCTATTATGAAAATTTTTATACTCATTTAAGTTTGTCGATGAAAAATTTTATGTACTGCTCTGAGTTTTGAATCATGGAATTTGGATTTAATTTTTGAAGTGGTAGTTTGGTTGATGATCGCCAATTTGATGAAAGAAATGCTTTAGATTCCAAGTTTGGTTTTCAATTCTATATTTTTATATCCATATAGTTTGTAACGCTTGATTGAACTTGTAATACACTGATCAAAACGATCCCAGGATGCCTTAAAGAAGAATGTGTTGGAGTTGTTGAAAGGGAAGGGGAGCAAAACCGAACTTCAACTTGGATTCCGGTCTACTTTCTTTTTGGTTTCTAGTTTGTGCAATCTATCTAACTAAGCGCAATATCTCAAGCACTAACTCCGATTCTGCTTTTATCATGTCATCAGTAAACCGGCCGTGATTATGATAGTTGGTGTTAACGGAGGTGGAAAGACAACATCTCTTGGTAAGACCTAGCATTAACATGGTATGAGTATTCTATTGAGTTTAAACCTCATTTCTTGTGATAATTTCTTGTGATAATTTCTTGGCAGAAGTTCTTACGTAGTTTTGAGGATATTTACTTGGATTTTCATGCGGCCTGACTCGTAAAAATATATATATATATATGGCTCGAACATAATATATTTCCTTTTAAAAGCATGTTAAATATACTTTCCCATTTATTTGTTGCAATTTCATTATTACTACTCCAGTAAGACAAGTTTAGGAAATTAAAATGACCTCATATTGCATAAGGTTAAGCTATCTACTTCTCTGTCTATTTGCTAAATTGGGATATATTTATTTGCGGTGCTATTACTCAAATTACCCAGTAATATCTTTTCAACTCCATGTTGCAGGAAAGCTGGCTTTTAGACTAAAAAACGAAGGAGCCAAGGTTAGATGATCTTCTTACCCTTCTAAGTGGAAGTTACTTTCTTATTTAAAAAAGTAACTCGATGGAAATATAGTAATTTACATTTTTGTGTGCCAGATATTGATGGCAGCTGGTGATACATTTAGAGCAGCTGCTAGTGATCAGCTGGAAATCTGGGCAGAGAGATGTGGATGTGAGATTGTTGTTGCTGAAAAGGACAATGCCAAGGCGTCATCAGGTATGCAGTAGTTATAGTGCTCTGTTTCTTTTTCTTGACATTGTAATGTTTGAGGAAGTTTGTATCATATACTGTGGATGCTAACTTATCCTCTTGAAGTGTTTCCCTGATAGTTCTATCACAGGCTGTAAAGAAAGGAAAAGAAGGTGGTTTTGACATTGTTTTGTGTGATACATCTGGACGTAAGTATATGTAGTGTATCGGCTTACTGTTAGTATTCTTTCTTGTGTCTTCTTAATAGATGAAAATCTTGGTTTTTTTTTTTTTTCATAGGTCTGCATACAAATTATAGTTTGATGGAAGAGTTAATAGCATGCAAGAAAGCTGTGAAAAAAGTTATGCCCGGGGCACCTAATGTAAGCATTACTATTTTTTCGTTTTACCTTGTTGACTTGTTCTATTTCAAAAGCCGGATGTGTAGGCATTTACACTTCTAGACTGCATAAGCCATTCAATTTTCCTTCAACATTATCATGCGTGACTACCCAGTATTAAGTGAAAGTCTGAAGTTTTAACCTAGTAATAAAGACATATTTTTGTATAGCGTAAAGGCTCTTGTCAAGACTTCAATGAGTGCAACTGCAAAGCTTTTTTCTTGTATTTTCGGTGTAGGGATTTGCACTTTACACTTGCATAAGCATTTAATTTATCTTCGACGTTATTATGCACGGGACTGTGGGGTGAGTGGCACCTTTTCTTTGAGATTTCTTCTCTTTTCCTCCAATGCTTTCGGCTGTTAGCTGAGGTTAAAATCAAACTTGATTTCTGTGTTAGGAAAATAATTTATTTAAATATGACACTATTAGTTGTAAGGCAGATGATACTCAGATCACTGAAAATTCCATTTTTCTACTTTGTTATTATTACCTCATTCAGGCCAACACTGCTTCCCATGAAATTTATGGTTCAAGCAGATATGAAGAATTTTATAAAAGTTGGATATCTGGTCATTAAAATGAAATTCTACGTAGTATCATGTACTTATTAAGAGTTTCATTACAATTGCAGGAGATCCTGCAGGTATTGGATGGGACAACTGGTTTGAATATGCTACCACAAGCAAGGGAGTTCAATGATGTAACTTTTACTATCCTTTTCCTTCTAAATGAATATTCTTGGATGACACGCATCATTTCTTGCCATTTTGCAAGTTTTCGTTCACGATTTCCCCAAAAGTAAAATATAGCATCATCTGCTGAGTACAATATATGCATGTGGATTATTATATTTATGTGTCTTTTACCTTGGGGCAAGTATTCTTGAAACATAATAGCTAATGGAGTTCTTAGCATGTTGCAATCCTGCTTGTAGTTACCAAGAAATTTCAATTGACAAGCTTGTTGGCTTCTGTAACAGGTAGTTGGAATTACTGGTTTAATTTTGACAAAACTTGATGGTTCTGCAAGAGGTGGTTGTGTGGTATGCCTTAAAATTCTGAGATGAACAACTTCCTGAAATGACATGACCGCCAACTACTCTCTGATGATATAATCCTTCTTTCTCAGGTCAGTGTGGTCGACGAGCTTGGCATCCCTGTAAAGTTTGTTGGCGTTGGTGAAGGGTTAGAAGATCTTCAACCTTTTGATCCAGAGGCCTTCGTTGATGCCATATTTTCATGATGTGTACAATATGGTCAGTATCAATATCACTACCATCAATATCTCCTTTCACCACTGTGTCACAATTTGTCTGCATTCCTTCTAAAGTCTACCCATCTCATTCGTAAAGTTCAGTAAGCTCATAAGGTTTCATCCATGATTCAACTCAGTGTGTTAGTAACTTGGTTCTAGGTGATGAAGTAGCTTATCGTCATTATTTCATGCTATTTATTAGTATGCTGACTTGATCATTTTTATTTTTGATCAGAAAAATCTTCCAATAATTGCGTCACTTTTAAATTTTATAAGATAATAGCTGAAAAGAGCGTGCCCTTGCATTGCATTGTGGAAGACTATCTCTTGAATATTGATGTTAAACAGACATAGGATTTTTTTTGGAAAAATTGCAAACCACTCCTGAAATCACATCTCTGAATTTTTAATTTCATCATTCAGTCCTCTATATTTTGTTAAGTGTTGCGATCAACCCCTTATGTTAGTTGTTAGATTACCTTTTAATTGAGCTTCACATGTGTAACGGCCCAGTTCCACCGCTAGCAGATATTGTCCTCTTTAGGCTTTCCCTTTCGGGCTCCCCCTCAATGCTTTAAAACACGTATGCTAGGGGAAGGTTTCCACACCCTTATAAATGGTGATTTGTTCTCCTCCTCAACCAACGTGGGATATCACAACATGTGTGACTCACACGTTAGTAGAGAATAGCACACTTGTTGTAACACTTAACAAAGTATAGTAAACTCATTGATCAAATTAGAAATTAGAGGATTGTCATGGCAATTTTTCTAAGTTTTTTTTTTTTTTTTTTTTTTTTTTTTTTTTTTTTTTTTTTTT